TCCCGGGATAAGGGGGCCAGGCGGGTTCGAAATTGAACCGGGGGGGGTTCGATGCAAAACAAGTCCAGCCTGAGAAGCGAACTGCCCCATCCCGGAGCTGGAGGTTCCGGAAGGGGAAAAGAACCAATCGCCGGCAATATCAGCGGAACGACCCGGGTAACCCGAAAGGCAGGACCAGGAGAGCCCCCGCGGGAACATCCAGGGGGAATCCGCCTGTATCTCCGAGCCCACCCGGCGTCCGAGGAGGGGGTTAGCCCTGTGAAGCCCTCCCGACGCCGATCCGACGGGGACCCCTCCAGCCCTGTGGGCTGGCGAGCCCTCCGGTCGGAGGGGTGGAAGTGGGAGGGCTCGAAGACGGACCTCGGGAGGGTGGAGGGGTGGAAGGTGGAGGGGTGGAGGGGTGGTTGAGCCCTCTAGCTCTGTCGATATAGCCCTACCCCTCCCGCCGTTTTAGGGCCTACCCACCCGCTATGTCGCATCCATCGCCTCTCCCAGAGAGAGCGCGGGCAGGTCGCGGTCGCCCGCGGCCGCGGCTCGCACGGCCGACGGAAAGAGCACGGCGCTGCGAGGGTCGCCGCCTCGGCGGTCAGCTCAACACTCCCGCCCGCGCGCACGTAGCATGCGAGGGCTCGGACCGCCGCCTTGTCCCTTGACGTGGATCGTGGTCAGTCGTGACGCCCGCGAGCGTGAGTGTCGCGAACGGTGCAGGCGCCGCGCGCCTAGCCGCGCGCCGGCATCGCGGCGCTGATCAGTTCTAATGAGGGTACCGCTACCGGGGGGATGGAGGAATGAATCCGGGGCGCCCTCCGCTCGAAACCCTGGCTAGGTAGGGGTTGGAGGTGGCCCCCACCCACCCTGGGGCCGTCAAAGCACAAAGGGACTGCGGCAGAAGACGCCCAATCTTGCACGCGTGCAAGAACCACACTGCTGTACAACGAGGGACCGATTCTGTTATGAGGGCAGGGTTTTCGATTACTCGAGTAGAGCTTGTATTGCTTGCAATACTCGAGTACAACGAGGAAGAGCTTGTACCCCTATTGGCTAGGTAGGGGTTGGAGGTGGCCCCCACCCACCCTGGGGCCGTCAAAGCACAAAGGGACTGCGGCAGAAGACGCCCAATCTTGCACGCGTGCAAGAACCACACTCACTGCTGTACAACGAGGGACCGATTCTGTGAGGCCAAGGTTTTCGATTAGAGCTTGTACAACGAGGAAGATCTTCACAGCGGCGGCGGCGGCGGCGGCGGCGGCGGCGGTGGCGGTGAGGCCGAGGGCGATCCAGCGGCGAGAGGCGTCGACGTCGTGCAGCAGCAGCAGCTGTGAAGGAGGGCCTTCTGAAAGGCTGGCTGCGATGCGGCCTGCCAAGCCGCGTCGCGAGCTTGTACCCCTATCCCGGTAGCAAAATGGCGCTGCTCTCGCGCGTACCCCTCACATTCGCATTATCTGGCGCTGCCCTCGCCGCGGCGTCGTTCACGCTCGGCGCTTTGCTCA